ATGAAAAAATTAGTATAAAGTATTACATAATTAAGTGAGATCTCGTATGTATTAATAAAAATATTTCACTTAAAATAAATATATTTTTTAAATTAAAAATATGAAATTATAACACATGTTCCAAGCTCAATATGGGCCGAAAACCAAAATAGATTACTGAGTGTTTTTAAATTTTCTTTCTTTGGGCAAGGCAAAATCAATTATATGATTGGGAATTGGTTTACGTAAAGTTTGATCAGTTGGTCACGTTAGTGCTTTTAGGGCAAACACGTCTCCAATAATTGATTGTGCCGCAATGCATTCAAATATTGCTAATTAGGCATTGCGGGGCACACATCAAAGCCGCCCAATCAAAGAAAGATTTCGTGTTTCATTTTTTCTTTTTTCTTTTTAAATAAATTTACATAAAATTGAATGTTTCCAACAGGCTGTACCTTGTTTTTATGAATAAAATACATTTGATCTTATCCATGCATGATTGGGTGCTTCCTTCAATTTCAATATTCTTTTGTTTGCTTTGAAAACTTCCCAAAAGATTTTTCTCCTTTTGCAGCAGTGGACTTCAAACGGTTCTGATCATATAGTTTTCATTCTTTTGTGGGTTTCCATTCAACAATTTTGTTCACACCTTTCCTGCCCTGCAGACCTCAAAGAAACCCTGTATACATATCTTAATACAAATTGAATGATTATTGGAGTTTTCCTTCATTTCCCGTAACTTAAAATTAATTGCTTCTTAAATATTCATAATGTTGAGATAATTAAGATATAGTAGAAGGGAAGAAAGTTATGGCAAGTTTCTCCCTTGATCAAGTCTGGTGGCTAGATTAATTGTTGGGTTTATTATAATGTGATCCAAAGATAAAAGCCGAAAAGGAAATATAGAATAAAACTTTGGGTTGATAGATGGGGAAGAGGAAATGCTAGCGTTGGGGGGGTGAGGGTGACCACCAACCAATTCAAAAGCATTGAAAGGAACGATGTTGTCCATTTAGACAAAAGGGAAATTAAATGCTTCTTTACATCATTTCTTTATCAAGGCTGTTGGCAAAGAAAATGAGGTGTCAAATTGGCATTGTTGTAACGAAACTAAAACCGTAGATGGGAGAGCTATGCAATTATTACTTACTGTTAGTTTCTTCCCTCCTTAATCATTCATTAGTCTTTGCCACAGAAATATTCAAAGTTCTCCCATATTTATCAGATTGAATTAGGTTAAAATTAACTCGATAAGATTATTTATATCAATTGACAATAAGTAAACAGACGACGATAGAAAAAAATAAAAAAATTTTTTGTCATCATTAATAATATAAACATGATTAGGTCAACGTGAAGCAAGTTAGGAATACAACATCTAATCTTAATGCCTTAATTGTATAAAATCAGATCAATTTATACTTTTATATGTATATATACATATATACGTTTATTTCTCTTATAATTAACATTTGATTAGAATAAACCATTCACATTAAAACTTAAAACAATTTTTTCCTGCTAAAATAGAGGGTTACCCATGAGCTCAGAAAAGAGCTTTTAAAGGGCTAGCATTGGGGAGAGGGGAGGGGCCTCCATTCTGAGTTATGCCAAAACATAATTGATTAGTATAACAAAAAATCAAAACCTAGCTAGTGGAGATAATGTACGTATTCCCCAAAAAAGAAAAAACTTTGGGGAAAATTTTACGAGGTGCATGTAGGTAATATATATATATATATATATATATATATAGTACTAAAATTTAATGATTTACCTATATTTGCTGGCATTTAATGCTTTAAAAGTTGAATTTTAGGCACACTACTTATCATAATGTGACATAATATCTAAAAAAAGTCTCTAAATTATTTTAAAAAATTTAAATAAATTATCATATTTTTATTACATTCAATCAAGTTTTTGTATTTTTATTTTGAATTAAATAAGTTTTTTTCATTTTTATTTTGACTCAAATAAATCTTTATGATTAATGATTGACTTAATTAAAACACTACAACAAATTTGACTTAAGACAATATATTTTTAAAATGTACTATTAAAAATATTTTTAATAGCACCTTTTTTTAGGTTTTTTAGAATATTTTTATAAATCTAACTTCACTATATAAATTTTTAAATGCATTATGAATAAAATGTAATGATAGAAATTACATACACTAGTAAAGATTGTATTTTTTTTTATATTGTTACTAAATGTGAATAAAGTGAATTTAAAAGTTTAAATAGCTATACTTTTAAAAATTTTACTACACAAAAAAATATGTCACCTAAAAATATGTGATTCAAACTCAATTTTTTTTAGTAAAATGTCATTTATTATTCTATATTATGTAGTGCTGACATGTAGTATTAACATATTATAATTAATAATGACGTAACATGTTGACATACATAATTGATGATGACGTGATATGTTGATAAAATATTTTTCACTGTTCATGTCAACGCTATGTCAATGTTATGAAGATATAAAAAAACGAGAGGTATTTTGAGTAATAACAATTAATCAATCATTAATCATAAAAACTTATTTAATTCAAAATAAAATACAGAAACTCGATTAAATGCAATAAAAAAAGAAGAATTTATTTGAACATTGTACTTAATAATGTTAATACTTATTTATAGTTATGATTTGATGATTTTTATAATTAGATTGTATGTACAAACAAAAACTATAATTTCAGTCAAACCATATTATTAACATATACTATCTCTAATTGTATATTTTATAAAATAATAGAACAAGCAAATCCATACCACGTATTTAATTTGTAATTAATTTTAATTTACATTTAAAAAGGTTTATCAATCTGTGATACCTAACATCCCACATTTGATGTGAATGTGATTATTAAGACCTATATAACAATTCAAGTCTACTACTACTAGTAACTTGAGTTTACGCTTTTGAGGGCCACTTGGATCATTATAAATGGTACATTGCTCTGGTGAGATCTTGGTCCTATGGATCTGATGTGTGGCCTTGATGAGGACATCAAGGATTTGAGTGAGATTATGGTCTTGGGATTATGTGGCACCTAACATCCTCAGATCGCTCAAGGATTTGAGTGAGATTATGGTCCTGGGATTATGTGGCACCTAACATCCTCACATCGCTCTAGTGAGATTATGGTCCTGGGATTATGTGGCACTCACATCGCTCTGGTGAGATTATGGTCCTGGCATTATGTGGCACTCACATCGCTCTGGTGAGATTATGGTCCTGGGATTATGTGGCACCTAACATTCCATCGCTCGGGATTGCGATACCTAACATCCCACAAATACGTCTACTCACATTGTCTGGGATTATGATACCTAACATCCCACATCTGATCTGAATGTGATTGTTAAGACCTATATAACAATTCAAGTTTACTACTAAAATCAATAATTGGACTTAGGTCGTTACACAATCTGTCCGAATATTTTGAATCTTTCTTTTCCTCTTGAATCAAGTTGGCAAATGGCAGCAGACATGGAACTATAATTGACTCAATGAAGATATGGCTCAATGAAGATATGACTAAACATCAAAATGAAATGAAAGAGGATTTGAGGCTTAGACCTGGCCACCTGTGCTCAATGAAAGAGGATTTGAGGCTTAAACCTGGCCACCTGTGCTCTTGTTTCAGGTTTAGGCAAGCCGGTTCACATGGTTGGGGTGCTGGTCCTGTCATGGACATTTTGTAATTAAATGATGCCAGCTATACCTATATATATATATATTTATATATAATAATCTCAAGAAAATATGGATGCACGTCGAGGCCCCCTTCGCACATGCCTTGACCAAAGAGACATGGACGAAATTTTGCTGTAATTCCAACTATAAATATTAAATGAAAAAAATTGACTTAAAATGCAAAAACATGATTGACTTCTCCTGCCTAGTGGGAATCCAACTCATCTTTTACTATTTGATGGATTTTATTTTATTTAAAAAAAGGAAATTCAAACTCATTAAAGAATGAATTAAAGATTCGGTTGTAGATTTAATCTTTTAAGACAATGAATAAAAGAGTTTAAAGTGTCCTTTGCCTTGTTTTTATCAACAATCGGTGAATGATCCATGATGTACAATGTACCATTCGATTAGAGGAAATAACATAATCTTAGTTATTAGAGAGTTAATAGATATAGAATTTGGGATATTTTGATGAACTCGAAAGATGATATTCTTATTCGATTTAATAGAATCTCATTTATATGCTAAACATATACCGTCACATCTTTTAAGAATTCTTAAATTTTAAAAAATTAATAAATATAAAATTTAAAATGTATTTTAATAAATTTGAAAGATAATATTATCTGATTTAATAGAATTATATATATATATATATGCACTAAATACCATCACATCATTTTAAAAATTCTTTAAATTTTGAAAATCATTGAAATTGACGGTTATTCAATGTTTACCTAAATATTTGCTAAGGAATGCTTTAAGAGTACCTTTTTAAAAAAAATTAGATAATATATTATTTATTGTATTCTTGTCGAGTTAGGTGCAATAGTTGATAATTAATGCAATAACTTCAACACGTAGTCGGCGGATATTTACTTAATTAGAAAATTTGAAAAAAAAAAAGCTTTAAAGACACTTATTAATGAAATCCTTATCCAAAATATAAAATAAATTAACTCAAAATTAAGTCTAAAAAATTTATCATAGTAACCAGAATAATTAATAATTAATTAGGAGATTTTCAAGAGTTCTAATATATACAAAATATGAAAAAAAAAAAACAAAAACAAAAACAATAAAGAACTATGCTATTGGTCATGCCCTCTTATCATATAATTAAAGATATTTGTATAATATTTTAACAATAATTTCAGAATTTTCATGTGAAAAGCATTGCCTCTTTTAACTTTGAGAGATGAAGCCTTGAGTTTCGACTGTTACCAACGCATGTCCACTGTCCACCAGCTTGCCATAAATGTTGTAGAGTTTCCCCTTCAGGCATAGTCACTTTCAATTAGAAAATCGTTGGCTCTTTCTTTCCACCAACTGTTCCCTCCCACATTCTCATTTTCACCCACCTTTTCTTCTTTCTCTCCATTTAAAGCTTGTCTCTCTTCTCACAATATCTCTAATTATTCTTCTCCACAGTCTGATCCATCGTTTCTTTGAAAATATGGAGAGCCAAAACAACGGCAAGGTGAGTGCAGTTGATGGAGTAGGAAGCAAGAGGGAGGTGGCCATGCCAAGAAAAGTGAGTAGCTGTGACTTGATTCTGAGGGTTTTGGCTCTGCTGCTGACGCTTGTAGCTGCCATAGTTCTTGGGGTGGATAAGCAGACTAAGGTTGTTCCAATTCAGATCGCACCAACCTTGCCTCCTCTAAACGTTGAAGCCCAGGCAAAGTGGCATTACTTGTCTGCGTTCGTGTAAGTCATCAATTCACACACTTGCAATGATGTTTCTTTCAATGAAATGTTCATGCCCTTTGAAAAAACAAAAAAACAGTTACAATTCAAGAAAGGTTCTACAAACGATAGTCTGCGTGATATTTCATTTCACGTTAGATATTAACATAATTATTTAAATTTATATTTTTATTAAAAAAAAGTATATATAAATGTGTCTATTTCACATTGAAATGATTATTTTACATCTCAAAATTATAATTTCTTTATTCTTTTCTTTCCTTTATTCCCAACAAATTTTAATTAGCTTTATTAGGTTGTTTTAGTAATTTTTTTTTCCTTTTAACAAACGAAGAGCGTAAAGATTTCCCACCCATTGGACACACACCTCCAAAATTTTTTAAATTATTTTTATATTATACAAAATTTTTAAATTTTTTAATAAATTCTTTTAATGTCTTTCAAAATAATTTTTTATTTAATAATTAATATAAATAAAAAATAAAAAAATGATTTTATATGCTTGATTCAATTTTAATTTTTTTATTTTTTTAATTTATATTATTTATTTATTTATTTATTATTTCTATTATATTTACTTATATGTTCAAACTTTTATAAATTTTCTTTTACAAATTTCTATGAACCATCAATTATATTTTTTTTATTACATCATATGTGAGTTGTATATTCTACTTGTCATATGTGATTTTATATTCTACTTGTCATGTTTTTCTTTTTTCTATTATGTGGATTTACTTTTTTTATTTTAATATTTAAAAATTAATAAATTATTATATAATTTTAAAATATAAATTGTAGTATTGCACCTTTACTTAGAATTTTATTAAGGTACCATTTTTTATTCAAAATAACCAATACATTTTGCAAAGATATACTTACAAATTGACATAATGAAATGATTGTACTTCTTTCAATATAATTTTATTATTATATATATTTTTAATGACCCTTAAAATAATTTTTTATTTAATAATTACTTTTATTCCTTAAATCATTTGATAAAATTAGAAAACATATTGCTAATTAAGCCCAACAAATGAATTATAACTTAATACCTATCAAATTTAAAAAAAATAAAAATGAGTCTACTATTCCAAACCTACTAAGTTTTAATATAAATATAAACTTATTATAACATATTATATCTTAATAGTCCAACTTAATTACCAATCATAGCATATTATATCTCAATAGTTCAACCTAATAACTCAATATATTAATTAACAATTTAAGAGGTAAATACAAAACAAGGAGAACTTCTACAGAAAGTTATCCATTTCGTATAAAACATATAAAGTAAAAAGATAATTTATTTAAATTTGAAAAATTATTTTTTTTCACTCTTACACACAGAGTGAGAGAGACTCTTTTTATAATTTCATTCAGTTATATATATATATATATGACACTATTATTATTATTAATGTGTATTTTTTGTATATCTAATATCTTTTGGATTTTGTTTAATTTTTTAGATAAGTAAAAATTGAATTATATATAAAGTTACAGTTTAGTTTGTTATCTGTTTAGCCCTTCTTTAAAAATGTTCTAATTCCGCCGTTGTCTATATATAATTACTCTAGATATGATCAACGGATATGGTAAATAAGTCCAATATGACAACTCTTGTTTCCTACATAATCAATTTCTCTTGCTCTTTTCTTTCTGGTAGTTGAAAATATCTAAAAGCCATGTGTGTGCGTTAGGATTCTTACAGTAAACAAACTTTGCACCATCCTGCCATGGAAGAGGAGATAGCTAGAACAACTAATGGATTTATTTTCTTCAAATCCTTATACCCATGTCATGTCTCTCATCTTAATTCTGTATTCATGATGATAAAACAGGGTTACTCAAAGATAATTATTTTTGATCTCATTTGCAGGTACGCCATGGTGTCAAATATCATAGCATGCTCCTATGCTGCAGTATCTATACTCATGGCGATGGGAACCCGAAATGCAAAGAAAGGACTGGCACAAACCGTCGTCCTCCTCCTCGACCTGGTCATGGTGGCATTGCTATTCTCCGCCAACGGAGCTGCCTTCGCCATCGGCCTGATGGGCTACAAAGGCAACTCCCACGTCAGATGGAACAAAGTCTGCAACGTTTTCGACAAATTCTGTAAACAGGTTGCCGTCTCCGTTGTTTTGTCTATACTTGGTTCGGTAGCCTTCATGCTTTTGGTAGCCCTCGCTGCTGTCACCCTCCATAAGAGATGCAAGTAAAACTGGAATGAATGTTTTTATGTAGAATTAAAATAAAATCATGTGAAGATAATCCTGTTTTAATATATATTTATCATTTATTGTTGTGGGGATTTCCTTCTCTTCCTATATTTCGAATGAATTTTCGTTCTTGTCGCGAAATTATTAATATTGTAAAATATGCGATAATTACATGATCAATCGAAATGCAATTATATATAAATAAATACAAGCAAAAATAATGAACTTTCCAGTGGGGTGGTGACCTGTGAGCCTAAACTGGCAGGTGTGACCTCTGGGAAGGCAAAAGGGACCATCAAAGCTGCAAGTCTACAACAGAAATTTTTTATTTTTTAAATTAAATTTTCGTTTATTTTCCTTTTTCTTTCTAAACCCAAAGTCCAAAATGTTTACATTATGATTGCATGGTTCAAACTATTTAAACCAAGTTTGGTTTTCCAAATGTTATTTCTTCTTGTGGATTTGTTGCTGCAATTTTATAGAATCAAAGGAGAGCATAAGTAGTTGCTGAACGTACACTGTCACATGCAACAAAGGCAAAATCTGTCCCCCTGCACTGTTCCGAGCAATATTCTGAGAAACAGTTTCCTGAACAAATCAGATGTCGGCTTTTCCTTCATCACATGCAAAAGCAGAGAAAAAGAGACAGAGAGAGAGAAACATGGAAGACCAACAGAATTGGAAAGGGGAAGCAGAGGAAGAATGTGAAATAAATGAGCTGCTATGTAGTATTATGGAAGGTTATAATGACAAAGTGATACCTCCATTGTCACAATTCTCACCGTCGCGACAGGCTGCTGCCGCCATTGTTGAGGAAAAGGGTTCTAGCTCGAGGGAACGTGGCAGGGCGAAAGAAGCTGAAGAAATGACTGAGAGCTTGAAGAAGGAAAGAGATAGGAGGGAGAAGATGGCTGAGAACTATGTTCTTCTTCAGTCTATGGTCCCTAATCTCTTCCCTAAGGTTGCATTCCATGCCCTTTGCTTCAGGTTCCAATGGTTGATTTTTGTTGTCTCCTTTTCATAACTAGCTATCTCCATGTTCTTGATTTCAGCAGCCATTTTCTTAGCTTCTTTCATGAAAATAAGCTCCCTTACAGTTACCATGTTGAAGATCTGTTTGCCAAGAATGAAGGGTTTTTCTTTAAATTTTCAGATCAATCCAAATACCCTTCACTATAAACAACTGGTTTTCTGCTCTTCATTTAACAGTCTTATCATTCTGCCTGCATTGATCAACCAGAACTAATCCTGAGATTTGACCGTCTTTTAATTCAGGCTACAAGAGAGACGATTGTTGGTGAAACGATTGCATATATCCAATCTCTTGAGAAAGAGATAACAAGGATGGAAGAGCTGAAGAATTCATCTGAGTCATCGAAAGGGAAGATGCATCTGTATTCCAACAGGAAGTCCTCAATCGATGTCACTGTCTCCAGCAACGTCGTTTTCTTTGGGATTCAATCAATGGTTCGACCAAGACTAGTGACAGACATTTTCATGGTACTCCACAAGCACAAGGCCGAGGTTTTGGCGGCAAATGTTGCGGTTAATCATAGGCAATTAACATTAACTGTTACAGCAGTTGTCAGTGGGAACAGAGACGGAACGATTGAGAAGATTAAGGGAGACATACTGATTTTATAGGCTTGAGACCAGGAGTTTAAGAAATTTTATTAGTCATATAAAAACCATATAATTCAAAAAAAAAACTTAAAATAATTATTCATTTATTATTTAAAGGGTCTCAGAAATTTAATTTTATATTGTTATTAAAGCCATGAATTTATTGTTTAAGGAAGTCTCGACATTGCATTTTAGAATCCCAATTTGTTTTAATAGAAAAAAATTGAAATTTATATTAGCTGACAACTGAAGAGATACAACATTATTGATCAGAGTAACCCTTTGTCATTTACTTAAGAGACCAAAAAAACAACATTAATTGATTAGCTGAGAACTGAAATTAAGCAAATAAGAGTTTGATTAACCCATATGAATGGAATCTCAAGAGTAATTGACAAAAATTTGGTTACAACTAGATGCTGCTGGCAAGACCTCTGGCATTGGAATGTGAAGCCAGTGATCATGAAGTGTTCACTTCGTGGCAACACTTAATTTCTGGAAATGTCAAAAATAGTTGCAGCTCTGTTCATAGGAAGTGCCAATGTAGCTTCAGTTCATCAAGTCCAAAGTTCCTTGCTCTACAATGGGATTTCTTTTTTGGTTAGATCTTCCAAATTTATGCTCATTGCGAAGCCTGTGTTCAGTAGACTAGCAACCATGGCTGGAATATCTGATTTCAAAGAAGCAGCCAATGCCTGACCAATTGATTGAATGACGGACAACAAATTAGCTTAGGTTCTTGGAGAGAACTTTTGAAACAAACACACAACGGTTTCATTTTTGTTTCCAGAAAGATAAAGAATTAAACAGTATACCTTCCTATCATCCTCTTTTTGATGCTTAATAACATCCGAAGGCCACTCATTTACCAGCTTCTCCACTTCAACAGCAATACCAGGCTTCTTTGCATCAGATAAAGTCTGGCATGCGCAGAGTAAAAGTTCAATTTCATAGACGTTATAGAATCAAAAAGCATTCAAGGTCACATAAAAAATACATTTGAAATCTCAAATACTAGCTCCAGATAGCAAATTAAAATGTCACTTAAGCAATGAAAAGCTGAATGTCAAGATGGAATGCAAGGTACAGCGATATCCATCAGGACGTTCAGTTCAAAACAAATTAACTCACAACTTAACAAGTCAAGGTTAAAAAACTTCCCCTACCTACTAGAGTATTGCTTGCTATGATCTGCATCACCCCATCAATTGTAATAAATATTCAGATTTCTCATAGCCATTTCTTTGGGGTAGAATTAGGAGCAAGTAGAAGGCATTAAAATTCGATACTTTCCTTTACAGACTAACTCACTATTAAAACTTTTTGTACATTTATCTTCTTTTTTTATTTTAATTTCATTTTATTCTCTTCCCCCCCCCCCCCCCCCCCCCCCCCCCCCCCGCGCATGCTCAAGAAGGGTGGAGACTCAGGAGGACGATAACCTAAATATCAAAACATAAAAGGGCACAAATTGATATGACACCTAATTTACCTGATTAAGGACTTGAATAAGAGCTGCAGCATCCTCTGGCTTCCCTTCTAGTAGTAAACCCTGCAAAAACAGAGATAATTAAAATTAAATAAACTGTTTATCAAATAAACAGAAACTAAACAGGTCTGTATTGGTTACTGAATGATCATATCATTCTTTTACTTATTGAAATAAATTTTCATATGCAGGCTAGAATGACAATAAATAATAGTATTTGCTACCTTGGCACAGGAAAAACCAGTGGTAAGGGTGTGCTCCTTCATTGTCTCAGATCTCAAATACTCAATATTCCATAGTGACTCAGTGTCTCCTATAAACAAGAAATGATAGATAAAACCCATGTACAAGGAAAGAGAAACTCTAGAAATAACTCCGTCATCTTCTCTCATAGTGGCCCTAATTTTCAGGCCCCACACCGCACACAGAAACATGAGAAATTGAAAGGGCAGAAATTCAAGGCTGCAGACTATCACAGAAGTATATCTGGAAAGTTGGGTTGTTTTGTAGGTCACAAACTGGTATATTCTCTTACCAACCACTATCACTAAGAGAGAGAGAGAGAGAGAGATAAAAGATCTGAGGAGATGCAGAACATAAGAACTGAGAGCTCTCAGAGATTAAAGACCTCTTTGGGCAGCAAATTTCATCCATGTGTCAAATGTAGTCCGTCGTAGTTTTACTCCAGCCTTAGTAAATTTTTTTGAGTACTCAGAGATCAACTCCCAATTATTTGTATTGTAGCAAATGCTGCAAATGTGAAATCCAAAAAAATATTAAACAAACATGAAGAAAGAATGAAATCAATATAAGAATTCTTGCAACCAATTCTTAAGCTTGTAACACAGGAGGTTGGGGCAGTTATGGAATAAAGATTCGATATTGAAGAAAGCTATTCAGGATTCAGGGCAAGCATAACAGATCATCCGCACATATGCTGATACATAACTTGTTCACTCAAAGAACTAGCCAACAATGGGGAAACTATATAGGCATACATCACATTTAAACGTCTCAGATTCGAATGTCCATGAGTGTCCTAGCCCAGGAAATTGGACAAAGATTAGACTTGAACGGAATAAAATACATTTAAAAGAGAATAAGCTATCATGTCCAGTCAATCATTTCACATTGACTTCAAATTTTATTGGGAAAAGGAATATAAGTGCTGTTGAGACAGGAATTCTTGGAGCATATAGCAAAGAACAAGAGAAACATGTGGCTTAACTAAACAGCAATTCACCTGAAAACGATATCTGCAGTGCCAGCTTGTAGCGGTAAGTTATTCCTTTTCAAAAGTTGCATCACCTCCACCATGAGTTTAGCATCATTTTGACCCTGAGCGTTCAACTGTACTCCAACACTTAATTTAATGTACATAAATACAAAGGCCAAATGAATGAAATTGAACAATTTGATAGATGAGTCAACTATACCAATAAATGATGAGCAGATGCAATACTAGGAGTCAATCCATACACATTGTGCTTCCACAAAGCCTTCTTTCCTGCATAAGCATTCAAGCTAAATCATATTCATATAGTTACGTTAGATACATTAAATGGTAAACTGAAATATTTTAGATCAGCTACAAAGTTCAAAGTTCTACAAACCAAGAATTCAAAACTAGCAGTCAAACTACAGAAAATTGTTAAGGGTCTACAAAAATCTAAAGAGCAGAACAAAAGGCATACCAAAATCAATGGCCCCTACACGAGCACATGCCCTGGTAACTTCTTGGCAGAGATTGCAATTAAAATTGGAATGAATTCGGAGGTTTGACAGTCGCTGCAACCAAAACCAGATCGTACATCCATCAACAACCGACATTTCAGGAAAAAGAAAACAACCCAACAAAACAAGGCTGCAAAGATACAGAACTTACAAATCTTCGAAGATGCTGCAGAACATCGAACAGAAGCTTAATATCCTCATGATTTTTGCAGTTTTCAATCATTGACCACAGAGAAGCATTCGGAGGCATCGTTCTTTTAACATTTACAGATTGAAGCATGTTATCATAGAGTTCCTTAACAGCCTCTGTATTCGACAACACAAACCAAACATTTAAAAAAAAAAAAAAGAAAGCTCTGAAAACAATCTGGAACTAAACTAATGTAGAACAAATCAAGTACCGGTTGGATTGCTATTCGCTGTTCCTGCTTCGGTGGAAAAACATGTCCTTGGTATAATCGAATAAACCAGATGCTGTGGCATTGGAAAATAACTGCCTCGGCACAACCCTATCAAATTTAACAATCATAAATTCAAAAAATTAAAAAACAAAAATTCATTTCTCCATTTCTCTCAGTAACCAAACGAGGAATGAACTAAAAAACCGTCTTAAAAAATGAAAATGGGACGGTACCTGAGGAAGCCTCGGTGAGGACATGGCATTGAAGGGAAGAGAGAGGAGATGAGTTGATTCGAGTCAAAGAAGAGAGTAACCGGTGATTAGAATTGAGAAGAATTGTTCGGGAACCTAAAACCCTGGCGAAATTGCGAGCGTTCGAAAGTACTTGCATTTTTTTTTTTTTGAGTTGGGGATCGAGCGGGAGCTGAGTTAGGCAACAGAGCGGGTTAACTCGGCGGGTTTCAGGGGAGAAAGCTCGTTGGTTTCTTTCAGGAAGGGGCTGATCAGGGTTTTAGGGGAAGGAGGAAGGATGGACTCCCGCGGACTGGCGGCCCATAGTTCTTCTAAGGACCTCTGACCTTTTTTTGCAATTTCCTTATATTATTATTAGGCAAAATTAAAAAAATCCCGTCCCACTCCCAATTTAATTTTATATATGATATAATATTTAAAAAAACCTCTTAAATTATTCAAAAAAATTATATAAATCTTAATTTTTTTATTGTATTTAATTAACTTTTTATATTTTTATTTTGAATCAAATAAGTTTTTATACTTTTTAATATTAAAAATCATGAAAATAAAATTTATAATATAAAAATGTTAAGTAACTAAAAAAAGAAAGATGAGCCAAAAATTAAAAAAAATGTAGACAAAGGGAGTATATATTTTCCATTTATTATGCATAATCTCGGTCACAATAAGGGAAACTTGAAACCTTATCAGCAAAGTAACGAAGAACTCCAACTTCAATCAACCTTGCACATTCATCTTTCAAGAATATACAACTGTATTTTTATCCCAAAGCTAAAATATGTTTAAACAAGAAAATCTTCCTATCCGACTGACAATTAGGATGATGCCAGTGACTAAAAGTTCGATCCCCTTTTTGGCTCGGTAACTGCTGCATTAGACAGATAGTTCTGTTTTCGAGATAAGAATGCCATCGCTATCAGCATACAGCCATTCCCCATCATGGATCAAGGTTCCTGCAATGCGAATCGGGACATGCTTGTCACCAACAGCCTTCTTGTTTGATTTCAAGGGATTAGATCCCAGTGCTCAAACCCCTATATCACATGCATTAATCTCATCCACGTCTCTCACACAGCCATTCACAACAATACCAGCCCACCCCATGTTTTGAGCTGACTGTACCAAATTCCCTCCGACCAAAGCACATCTTGTGCTTCCCCCGCCATCTATAACCAACACTCTTCCTTCACCTCTGGTTTCAAGAAGCTGCCTGACAAACACATTGTCCTCAAATACCTTAAGGGTTACAATGGGTCCTGAGAATGCACGATGCTGGCCATAGATCTTGAAGATTGGTTCTAGAGCACGCAGGCTACCACTCACCAAAAGTGCTGCATTTGAATCACAAGCATCAGCAGCGGCAATGGCAGCCATACGGCTTCCTGCAGGGACAGCTATCCAACAGTAATCAAGATTTCTGGCCATAAATGAAACAGTCATAAAGATGTCAACATATATAAGAACTGCACAAGAAGAAACTCACCTAGATTTTTCTGCACTTATATTTTCATTAAACACATACTTCATAGCGTTTTCAGTTTGCTTGCAGGCTAAAACAAACATAAAAAATGCAGCCTGATAAGAATCATAAACGATACATAGATTACCTACATAAGAATTCCTTTAAATTCTTTTACCATGCTGTGACCAAGCAATTGCAAAACTAAACTAGTAAAGGGCCTAGAATGGTATCAATTCACCAGGCATAGTTTCACCGATCAACCAATGTTCCAATCTACCATATGGAAAAGTTGCGACATATAAGTTATAATGGCTCAAAATTCACTATAGAAGAAGAAAAACCAAGAATGGTTAAGTCCTAATTTGCATACTCTGTCCTAGATACAGTAATTTTGCAACCTCTATGATCAACATTACTAGAACGGAAGACAAGCTGCAAAGACATTACACACCTGCACGCAAATCTTCAAGCAAAAACAAAATTCCTTCTATTAATGAGGAATGGTATATCATCGAGATTTTATGAGTTTTGTTAATCAGAAACCCGGGTTTCCAGATAAATCCAGTTTCAGACACAAGCCTCAAACAAAGTGTACTCCACAATTGAAACCAGTTTGAAAATGTGTTCTGCTCATTTGACCTCTTACTTTCCGGTTCCTCCCTATGCAAGATACCCTTAAGAAGTGCATATACATCTGCTTTACTATATTGTAAGTACAACACCCATGAGGAATTCAATTAAAAGTTATCAAATTATCCCAGGATAGCCGTCAAACTAAGCTAATATACAGAGCAAAAAGCAAGTACCGGCATGATTGGCATTTGCGCTTACTGCTTCCGTAGAAAAATATGTCCTTGACATCGTCGATTGAACAGGATGCTGTTGCATTGGAAAATTACATCCTCTCCACATCCCTATGAAATTTAACAATCATAAATTCAGAGGAATAAGAAAAAAAATTCATACAAAATCACTCATTTTTCTTCTTCCTAGGCGAGGACTAAAGATTTTTCATTTCTCCTTCTTAGCTAATAATCTAAATTATTATTAACATTAAAATGCAACAAAAAAAAAATAAGTTCCTTTGTCTTTCTCAGTAACTAAACGACGACTTACTAAAAAACCGTTATAAAAAATCTACAAACTTGACGGTACCTGAGGAAGCGTCTGTGTGAAGTTGGCATTGAAGAGAAGAGAGGGGAGATGAGTTGATTTGAGTGAATGAGGAGGGGAATCGGCGATTGGAATTGAGAAGAAATGTTCGGGTTCCTAAAACCATAGCAAGTTTGCCAGCGCTTTGCATTTTTCCTTTTTGTTTGAATTGGGGACCGAGTGAGAGCTGAATGAGGTAAGGGAGCGGGTTAAATCGGCGGGTTTTAGAGAGGAAAGCTCGATGTCGCGTTTTGTCTTGGCTAGCAATGGCAAAACAAGAGCCTTTTCACGAATTCCGTACCGATCGGTCCAGCACGGGGTCCTCTTTTTTCCGTCTGATAGGCGGTACGCGGTGGCATACGATTGTTCCATCCCCGCCGGCCCGCTTATATTATTATTATTTAATTTTTAAACATATATTAAAAGATGTTTAACTGGTTAAATTTGAATATTTATATTGAATTTGAAAAGTTGAAATTTATTAAAGTTGGATTTATTATTTTATTTCCTAAATTCTTTAAAAATTATATTAAATTTAATATATCAAAATTACATTAAATATTCTTTTCATTTATAATTATCAACGTTATGTATTGTTATTACGTAAAACGATATAAAAAATTTATAAAAGATATATATATGTTATTGCACTTGATAAAATTATATTATTAAATTTAGTATATCGAAATTAAAAGCTTAAAAATCTCATTTCTAATTCCACTCTTGAAAGTAGAATTTGCAAAATTCTTTATTTTAGAAAACATTTGTTATGTTTTCTTTTAATTCTAATTAAAAAAAATTATTTTTAGTTTTAAGAATTACCAAAAGTGTGATGCCTTTTCTCTTTCATTTAGAGGTTTAAAGATGGAGAAGATGCTTGGTGTCATGAAAACACTTTTAAATTAGAATCTACATAAATCTATAAACTATTATCTCACGAAAAAATTTAAAAAGTTAGATAAACTGTAAATATTTAAATTCTCAATTATACTCTCATACACAATCGATGTGAACCATGAGAGTCAATCAAGATTCACGACTCTCCTCTAAAATTGGAACAATTAGCATCATCAAGTGATAAAGGTACGAGAAAAAACAAATAGGGTTCCGCCACATTATAAGTGTCATTAACATCTTGGCACAGTTTCATAGTCTCGTGGGGAAAAAGTATTCCCTTTCAGTTGCAGTATACATAACGTTTTACATCGACCGAAAGAACCATTTACAGTTCTTTCTTTTAAACTCCGACACATGGGAGAAAGAATAACCTGACAAAAGCTTATGAGAAAGACATAACAAATGCAAGAGTCATTGAATCATAATACAGTAATTCATAATCAATCCATCGATGTGAACATGCAATCACGAATTCCTCTTCTGCTTTATGCTTAGCGTGCAAACCTTAGATGCCTTTTGACCTCACTGTGTATGTTCTGCGATCGCGGTCTTGTCATTGAGGGAGAACTGGAGGGGCAATCGTGCGGGTATTATATGATTTACAATGACTACATTTCTGTCCGATTATGTGGAAGTAAACTTCTGTGGTGTCGTTGCAGTCGTTACATAGGATCCAAACCTGCATTCGATAGTTAAGTCAATTAAGACAAACAAAACTCAAATGTACAGCAACAGGTTATTAGACATGAACAAGGATCAAAAGTAAGCACCTTCTTATACCGGTAGTCCTCAGGCATTACAGTTGCTTCAATCTGAGAACATAGAAGCTAATTGTGTTATGAATCAGCTCGAACCAAAGAAAAAAAGGACTTAAATAGAAGAAAGGGTGACAACAACAACCATTTATGGTTTGATGAGCTTAAAATTAACAAAGCATACCTCTTCATCTATCCTCTTCCAGGTTCTAGACATATCAATTACTGACTTGGAGCATATGGGACAACAATATCTGAGCCACAACATCATTTAAATTAGGAATGAAACCCAGATTTTTACTTGCGAAAAACTACAACAAAATTAAACTTATACAAACAAAAATTCAGTCACTCACTTGTCACGCTTTATCATCTCATGGTAACATTCACAGTGCATTGTGTGACCACATTTCATCACGGTGGTATCTTTCAACGAATCAAAAAGGTACTAGAGAAACAGAATGATGCACCATTAGCAGATGAGAATACTTCTTGAGACAATTGAAGAAAGTAGAAGACCAACCTCGTAGCATATGGGGCAGTGATGCCGCATTGAGTTCTCCACACATGAATGATTATCTCGCAGAGCAATGGAATAGCAAGACCCTATGCATTTGCAAAATGTACTGTTACTGTACAATGAATATGATGCACCACAGAATAGAACAGATACGCTGCAAACTTGTTAGGTGCAAAGAAAAGCAAGGGATGGAATTCAAATGTTTATGGGCCCCATCTCAAAACTCACTTAAGCACCCAGTTTAAGGAAGTTCTCATGGAAACAGCATAGAACTACAGAAAAGTGTTAGAAACAAAACATGAAACAGTTTTAATTAAAGAAGACATATTGGACAAGAACAGAATATGGCTTAAAAATAAGAATGATAATGAAAGAGGATAACAGGGAAAGTCAGAATAGCTCAATACAGCCCAGGGTTCAGAAAGACACAGTATTGGACAAGAACACATTTGCATTAGACTAACAGGACAAGACATGAAAAAATAAGTGCAAAAATTGAGGAGACAAAATGGGAAGTCAGAAACACTGCATCATCAATTCAATTACAGTTACCTTCACCCACCCACCCACCAGTAACACTTAACTCATTTTTAGCTATCATGTATCACATTATTAATGCTCCACTAATACAAGGCATAGACTAAATATCAGCATTCAAGATGAAAATTCTGTTGAATAGACTTCAATTTCCAAAAGATGGAAACTTATTGTCAACAGTTCAAAATTTAACATGTAAGCATCATAGCCAACTGATGTTTACAACAAAACAAATGAACTTTGGGTTTTGGAGGAGAGGGAAAGATTAGATTGGTGCTTGGTGGGAGCATGACTGTTTTGTGTAGGTGACTTTGAGAAGATAGAAGTAAATCAATTATCCCCCAACAACCTTTTGGCACACAGGCCACGTCAAATACCAGCATAAAGTAAGAAAGGGGAATGAACCTGTGCACTTTGAACTAAGCATAACACAAATAAAATAAAATAAGGGGACAAATCTGAAATGAAAGATTGTAAGTACATACCACACTTCTTGCAGTGAAAAAAGTTCTCTCTGCCACCAACTCTGTTTCCAAAAATCTTCTATTAGGTCCCATCGATTACATTTGAATAATCAAGAGAAGAATCATAAGCCTTTCATACTTAAACTTGGCCACTAACCTGCAGATCCCACAATCATGACAATGAAACTGCCCTTTCTCGGTCTACATAGTACAGAATTACAAGTTAAACATCAAGGAAATGCGAGAAACAGTAGAAAAAGCAAGCAAGGATCAAACACCTATCGATTCTCTACATTTCAACATCATGATTGACAAATCAACAGCTGTAATGAACTAAACTTTATCAGTTATTCCAAGCTTTTCCTTGTATCGCTAGCTAAATCTTCGCAAGTGTATGCTTACATCATCATCAAAGAACTTGCAAATTTCACAGAAATATTCTCCCATATTGACGCCACAATTTGAACAAAGTTTAGCAACCTAGAAAAACATAAAACAAAACCAAATTTGAGTACATAAAAGAAAAACAAGAACAAAAAAAAAAGTTTATTTGTATCTAGAAAGTTGCAATTCTGGAAACACACATACCGGCTGCTCTGTGTCACAAACGGAGCAAATAACCTTAAAAAAGAAAAAATTAAAAGAAAATAAAACATATAATTAATATTATTAACTCAGGAAAAAATTAACACTAAAATAAAAAAGCAGGATTTTTAATGTCATACTTGTTTCACATCTTGTCGAACAAGGTCGTGCCTGTCGAAGGGGTTCCGTAACATGCTCTGGAGAAGCCATAAGTACACCCAAAACAACAATATCCAGATCAAGAAATTGCATATGGAGTCAAAATCAATGGAAACATATTAAAGGAAAAACAGGGGAATGCAAAAAAAAAAAATACCGCAGCCTCGTTATGGCAATGGCGACAAGAGAAAACCTCGTTGCAACATGGAGCTCGAATCTTACATCGCCTCCGATAATGTTGGCACCTAAAAAAAACAAAAAAAAAACAACAAATCATAGATGGAAAAGAAGCCCAAAATGAACAAGGAAAGGAATATGAAGAAAAAGAAGAAAGAAGAGATACCCATATCCCATCTTCCCAAAATGAAGGCGTTCATTGGCTGAAGAGGGTTCCATCTCCATGAGTATTGGAAAAAAAAAAAACCCTTTTTTTGGGTTTTTTTTTTTTTGGGCTTTTCCAGAGAAATCCCTGAAACAAGAGTAGTTTCCTGATTTGGGAAGATGGGGTTAGTTTTGGTGGTTTGTCGTAACCCTCAAAGAGGAAGTACCGATGCCGAGAAATGAAGGTCCCTCGCGTTCAAGAAAAGCCACTCCTTTATATATATATTATTAAAAAGTAATGATATTAAATTGGGGGACAGAGAGAGAAAGAGAGAAAGAGGATAAGGTGGGTGGTGGAGTGTGGTGACTTTGAGAAATAGAGTCCAGGCGCCGCAATGTCAACGAATCATGTTTCAGACTGTAAATTTTCTTTTTTGGCAATTTAACAAACACGTGCAAGACACATAAATGATTTCATTCCACTGACCAACTTGACCTTGAATGTGAAATTGGTGGTAATACCAGTACATTTGGTGCCATTTGATTAAATGTAAACTTACTTTAAGAGGGAAAGGATTGAGTGAAAAATGTTCTTAATTTTTTACAAAAGATGATGTCAAGATTTGATGGTCACCTTTTCAACAATGTTCACTTCTCTAGCACATGGACCCACAACAATAATTCACTTGAAAACATGGCCTGCTGCTGAGAACAATGTCGCCAATGATAGATCAAAGAAGGAATCAAGACAGACATTTATTGCTTTGGATAGGGTTGTTTTTTCAAACTCAGTCTGGAGCACCTACCTTGATCAACAGAAATTTGTTAATGGCTTTGGACTCCCAGGGGCAACAATGAATCTGCCCGTGTTCTTGCCTACCACGCAACTTGCTTCCTAACCTTAGATATCAATCAAAACCCACACCTTTTTTCCACACAATGCCTAACACTTTCAATCAAAATCCATTTCTTACACGATATTCCATTGTTATGAACAGTTATGATGCCAAATGTGTAGCTTTAAATATGCCCAAGATATTAATTTTCAATGAATATATAAAATTCTTTATCCTAATGGATAATTTGGATGATGCCAGATCAGATCTGGAGGTGTTCTTGTGAAGAGTTCCTTTCTTGTACATTTTTCCAACTTGTACATGAACTGCTTTTGTGCTTCAAACTCCTTAAAATAAAAAGAAAAAAAGAAAAGCAAGTTCTGGAGTTCTGTGCATAGTATGCTGTGCCAGGTGAATTGGATCCTGAACGAATTGAGATTCATACAAAACTCAACTTGCACTTCTCTTAATATTCCTTTGTATGAAACTAAAAATAAATTGTCTTACATGGGTTGCATGGAAGAGAAAGTTTACCACAAGTTGCAGCAAATACAACTGATAAGAGCCAGTATGATTTTCAATCATTGTCTGTATGTGAGACTTTTACAGTTTCTGAATGCAGTAATTGAAATGGAATTCATCTTAAAGAGTTAAATTCATGTTGCTTATACGCCAGTCAAGCAAAATTTTATCAGTATTAGCCGTAGAATCAGTCTGTAGATGTTATGATGTTGCATTGGAAAGTATGTTTAAGAGAAACGCAAACATGTTTTCAAGCAAGTTTCATTCCCTTCAATACTCGTGTGAGTGTGAGCCAATGGAGATAAAGGGTCTGCAACTTGGTTTGGATGGACCCTTTTGCCTTTGGTCAAGAAAAGCAACCAAAGATTAGGTTCAGACTTAACGGTACTTGGGACTTGGGGTGAGTAACACACCAGATACTTTAGTACTTTTCGTCGTTTTCTTTTACCTGTACAAGATTAAGTAGCTTGAATTATGAGGATAAGATCATAACTCAGTTTGCTGATTCTCCTTGTGCCTTGAAATGAAAATTACTCTTCTGTATGAAATAGTTTCATGTGCATACATTATTACTCTCAATGGCAAAGGTCAAGGTTTGCAAAAGAACTTGTCAGGTTTATTATTCCAAGCTGTAAGCTGCCTGTCTTTAGCAAAAAGCAGTGGATGAAAACCAGATTACAGGGATCCCAACCAGTACTTATGAAGCATACTAGGTTGTTTTAATTAGTTCCAACCATGTCACACATTGTTTTATGATGATCTCAACCGTTTGAAATTTACATGTAAAGCAAGTAGTAAAATTGGAAAATCTTGAATATACCTATTGCATATGGCTTAAATTTAAGCTAATATGGATCCCCCATTGCCAGCATGAAACCTTTCTGGACTGCTGCTTTGCAAGTCTAAAAATACACTTTCTTCTATAAATGATTTGCCGAAGAGGCCAACCTCAGCCTCAGAAAATCAACAGAAAAAACGGTTTGTTATTAGGGAAAAACTGTAGGCACCAAATTACACCCATGCAAAAGCTATGTATCCAACCCAAACCAGAACATACAGAACCAACAAACAAGAGTTTTTCCCATTTGCAAGTCTCTCTCTTCCAGATTAAAAGGGGGCAGGGCAATCCTCCTCTCTGCACTACTCAGAATCTGCAGAAATGGGTTGTGGTGAATCCAAGCACGTAGCAACCGGAAACACCATCAGCCGGAAGAATTCAAGAGCTGAATCCAAGAGGGGCAAAACCTCGGAAGCCATTGCAGAAACAAGCAAACAGGGTAGCAACACGAGCTCAATATTGGTGCAAGAGGAAGGCCAGAAAGTCGATCAGGACTCTTTTAATTCCAGCGCTGTGGCTGATGAGGGGAAGGACATAACTGAGAGCACAGAATTGAAGAAAGAGGAGAATGTAGAGGCAGATAAGGAGAAGAAAAGTGGGGTTGTGGAAGAGAATGAGGAACCTATTCAGGGAATTGCATTGGAGGGAACGTCTGGAAGGTCGGAGTATTACTCTCCACGAGAAGAGGCTGGGAAAGAGAGCTTGTTCAATGAGAATGTGAACCTGGCTGAAGAGACAAAAGAAAAAGCTGTGGAGGAAAACGAATTGGCTCAAGGGACAAAAATAGAGGCCAAAGAAGGAATTGTGGAGGATAAAAAATTGGCTGAAGAGACCAAAGAAGAAACTGTGCAGGAAATAATACTTGCTGAAGAGACAAAAGAAGAAGCTAAAGAAGATATCGTGGAGGATAAAAACCTGGCTGAAGATGCAAAAGAACAAACTGTGGAGGGTGAAAAACTGGCTGAAGAGAAAACAGAAGAAACTGCAAATGGTCTGTGACACTAACCATGGATGGCAGTTTCTTGTTAATGATGCATGATTCTTATTCATTCACTAATTTGATTTCTTAATGTATGTTCAGGAGAACCCGAAGCTGTGAAGAAAGAGAACTTGGTAAAAGAAACAGAAACAGCAGAAACTACTGAAGCTGAAGCTCCAACCCCTGCTAAGAAAGAGGTATTAAATATCAAAACCATTTTGGGCCCTAATTAAATTATTACAAGCTGATTTGACTGCAGAAAGGAATTTGGAAGTACTCAAAAAGGTTTATCTTTGGTGCAGGAAGAAACAGCCGTTGCTTCACCAGCCGAGGATTTGAAGACAGAGTGAAACCTTTGAAGCTGTCTTATCTGCGTTTATCAGACCCTTTGTATACTTCAATTTCATGTATTAATACCATACTCCTCCTCGAAACCCTGCTCAGAGAAACATGTGAAAGTGTTAAGAATTTAACATGCAACTCAAAAAGTTTGTCTAAATATGTGTTTCTTTATGGAATATTGTGGCTTGCGTTGATATTCTGAGATTGGTCATTGATCTTCCATCCTGACTTTTTCTGGCAATGGGGACAATTATTTGGAACTAAAAATGCTTTAAGCTATGAAAACTATGATGATCTCCGAATCACAAAGTCGCATATTGGTCATATTGGCTCAGTTTATTGCCATAACTAATAAAGTCTGTGATTCCATTCCTACTAATTAAGATGGAAATGGAATGAATCTGTACTCATTTGATCAGTCTCCTTTTTGGGTCAAAATCTATAAATCAAGCTTTTACTTGTTTACTGACAATTAAGAATCTGATACTCAACCATAAGGGAGAGAGCTTCTTTCCTGTGATTGGTATTGCTCTAAAGATCATGGTGATTGAGAGGCGAATCGTTCAGCACAATATTGCATGGCACTGTTTCATTCCACTCCGGGGCGGGCTTGGCCTGACTGTTTTTACAGAGCCAGCATTAGAAAGAGACTTAACAGATTTGAAATTAACAAGCGTTAAGAGTTAATGACTATAATTAACAAATTCACAAAATATAAAAACCCAATTTATACAAATTATTGTATAAAAACTAAATTTATTCTTTTTGTAGAGTATATTAACTAATTGCATAATTTAACTTTATAATAATAATAGTATAATATTATAAAAAAAACCCTCTAATCTTAAAGTGCTAGCTTTCTTAAATAATTTTAAATCAGTACAAAATTAAAAAAAAAAAGAAAAATGAGAAGAGATTGTTTAATGTTGTGAAATATATAAGGAGAATTAAAAGTAAGATATTATGACTCAAGTTCATTACTAGACAAGAACAAAGCTAGCTAATCGTTTTAATCACCAATGCACGCGACACGCCTCTCACCTTCTAACTCTCAAAGGTGAGACTATTCTAACCGAAAAAATAGTGCTTGTTCTCAAAATTTCAAAAAAATATATCTTTATTAATTTTTAAACATTATGAATATAAATGTGGATGTTTATTATATTACATTTCATGCACGTCAGATCAAGTCATATAATCCAAGTAGAGCAATTACAAGAGTATAATTTAATTTCAACTCTTAAACTTGATGATGTATATCAAGATTAAATTAAAATTTTACTTAAATATTATCCATCTAAATTAAATTCTTTTATCTTGTAAATTCTATTTAGACAAGACTTAAATACATTATAAATATATCCTCACTATATATATAAATACGCACTCAAATACTCAAATAAACTAATAGACCAATTATAAGAGTATAATTTGATTTGAACTTTACAAGAGTATAATTTGATTTGAACTCTTAAACTTTATTATGTATATTTAAATTAGATTAGATTTAAGATTAAAATTTTATTTAAATATTTTTCATTTAAATTAAATTTTTTTAATATTATTTTTATTTTATAAATTCTATTTAAACACTCAAATAAGCCTTACCCAATCTTAAATCTTACTCACTTGTTAAACCTAAACCCTAGCCTAGTTCTTTCTCACTTGTCAAACGTAAACCTTAACCTAGTCCTTATGTCACGGGACAATTCTTCAGACCACTCACTGTGCGGTCTTGGATTCGACCCTTATTCCGGTACTGGAATCTAAGTCAGCCTTGCTGCTCAGCACCCACCCAGCAAGCACTCAGCACACCCATAGCACACTGCTTTTCGATCAGCCGGCACACGCACACATACACAGTAGGCCTCAAGCCAACAAAGAGGGAAGGGGAGAGAAGAGAGGAGAGTGTTGGAGAATTTTTGAGAGTGAAAAGCAATCTGAATATCTATTGAATGATCTGATTTACACAATTTACAATGGCTTATTTATAGCTAATTTCCCTCCAAAACAGTTCCCTCCAAAAAAATTCCCTTCAAAAATTCCCTTCAAACATTTTTAGGAGGGAAGCTAAAATTCCAGAAGCTCATGCCATTAAAAGGGCTAGTGTAGTGGACCGATGTCATCTTTAACCTCCTGGTGGTGGGTTTGGGCCACGCACAGGCTGTGTGCCTGAACGTTGGTGGCCTGGTGCGCATGGGTCGCGCAGGCAATCTGTTTGGGCGTCTTGAGGGCTTGCGTGCCAAGCACCCCTGTTGTGTGAGTCGGTGCGCCCCGGGCCTGCGTATTGCGCACTCCTGCTATGCGGGCCGACACACCCCGGGCTTGAGTGTCGCGCCCCCATATTGTGTGGGCCTGGGTGCCGTGCGGGTAGGCGCTCCCCTAGCCTGCGTACCGCGTGCTTATGCTGTGCAGGCGTACCACGTACCCCTGCTATGCGGGTCGATGCCCCGGGCCTGCGTGCCACCCACCCTTGCTGTGCGGGCTGGCACGCCTGGGCCACCCGTGCGTAGTCTGCTTGGCTCTGTGCGGGCTGGCTCGCCCAAGGGTCTGTGCTGCGTGCCCCTGCTAGGCACCCTGTATCTGCCTTCTGCTATCTAGTGAGTGTTCTCTCCTAGCAAATACTCTCTTATATACTGACACTCTGAAACACTTTCTGGCCACCTCCAATGTGCTAAACTACTGTCCATGACACTTACCTAATGTTTAATTTTCTCTGCAAAACTGTTCTCTACAAAACTTCACTTGTCAAACCTAAACCTTACCCGATGTTTAATTTTCTCTACAAAACTGTTTCCCATCGAAGGATTCAAAGTATAACAACTCTTCAGAAATACCCGCCATTATGCATCTCAGTCACTTCAAATCTTCAAAACCACCCACCATTGCTATTACCTGTCAGATACATCTCAGCCACTTCATATTAATATACTTTCTCATACCTCATCGAAACATTTGGGTTCTCCAAAGAATCAGCTATAACCATCTCTAAACATGTTAATTTTGAAACCCCAGGAAAACCTAATTCTGTCATCGCTTTCTTCAAGAATCAAGGTTTCTCGAAAACCCAGATAACTAGAATGATCAAGACTTGTCCATCATTACCTGTGTGTAATGCTGAGAAAACCCTTTTGCCTAAGATTGAATTTTTTCGCCCTAAAGGCGTTCCATGCTCTGATATAGTAAGAATCTTGGCTGCTTTCTCCACTATTTTTTTCTTAAAAATTTAGAGAATCAAAATATTCCAATTCTAAAAAACGAATTGGCTCAAGAGACAAAAGAAGAAGCTAAAGAAGATATCGTGGAGGATAAAAAATTTGCTGAAGAGACTCAAGAAGAAACCGTGCAGGAAATCATACTTCCTGAAGAAACAAAAGAAGAAGCTAAAGAAGGTATCTTGGAGGATAAAAGCCTGGCTGAAGATGCAAAAGAACAAACTGTTGAGGGTGAAAAACTCGATGAAGAGAAAACAGAAGAATCTGCAAATGGTCTGTGACACACACTAAGGATGGCTTTTTCTTGTTAATGATGCATGATTCTTATTCAATCGTTAATTTGACATCTTAATGTGTGTTCGGGAGAACCTGAAGCTGTGATGGAAGAGAACTTGGTAAAAGAAACAGAAACAGCAGAAACTACTGAAGCTGAAACTTCAACCCCAGTTGAGAAAGAGGTATTAAATATCAAAACCAGTTTGGCTCCTAATCAAATTATTACAAGTTGATTTTACAGCAGAAAGGAATTGGGAGTACTCAGAAGGTTTATCTTTGGCGCAGGAAGAAACAGCAATTGCTGCACCAGTCGAGGATTTGAAGATAGAGTGAAACCTTTGAAGCAATGATTGATTCGTTTACGGTTTCTTAATATATTTTGCAATGCAATCGATCTTCATCAACATGTATCGTCGTCTGCTACTGGGCGTTTTATCAGACAGAAACAGTGTTATATATGAACACACATTTGCCCAAGGTAATAAACTTCTGAAGAATTCGGAAATAGGGGTGTCCCATGCATGGGAAGAATTATATCTTTTGAGAATATTGTATTCATATCAATGGAACTGATTACTTACTAATACTATGCTTTATTTTTCATTCCAATGCCAGGAAATTGTTACACCAAGCTCTGTTCCACAAAGCCTACTGCTGAAGAATGTGGTTTTTGTTGTTGTTGTCATTAAATGATCGGAACTCGTTGTTGTGTTGCAATTTACCTTTTTCTGTTTAGATATTACTATGTTTTGGGTGTATTTCAATGTTGTTATCGGGAAATGGAATCAAACTGTTTTCATTTGATCAATCTCGTTTTGGGGTCAAAAGGAGATAAGCCACGGTTTTACTTGTTTACTGACAACACAATGAATCGGATATTCAACCATAAGGGAAACAGCTTTCTTGCTTGTGATTGGTAATGTTCTATACATCACATATAGTCATTGGGAGGAATATTGCATGGCTTTGATCCCACGTATATCGAATCCATGCAAGATATCCCCTCCATGCAAAGCTACAAAGAGACTTTTAACAGATTTGAAATGCATGACTTCAGACTTAGCCTCTGTTCGCAGATGCACGCATCATTGTTTCTGCCATGTCTGACCCCAGAAATCTAGATTCAAGGTGAGCTGATCCCAAGAGCCGGCCCTTCGGCCTAATGGTTTTTGTGTAACTATACGTTATGTAGGGCTGACCATTGAAAGACTTCAGTTTGATCCAAGTCCCATCCCCTCGAGTTCAACTTGACCAGAAACCAGTTTGAACAAGAGGTTTCTTTTTTTTTTTTCTAACTCGTTTAGTGCAGTATCTGGGGTTTGACGATGGAGGACCAAAAACCAGGCTTTTGTTTAGATTGAACCAGAGTTAGTATTAAAGAATCATGCCGTGAGAAAGAAGAAATGATGTTAAATTGGAATTTAGGATTCAATATTCATGAAGGTAAAAAATGTACAGGTTTTGATAGTTATTTACATGAATTCCTTTCTAACCCCAAACCCACATTAATAACTTTCGTTTTTCAATGGCTTTTTACAAGGCTTCAATGGAAGAATGAAAATATTGCTATCTGAAGTGGAAATCGATGAACTGTGCTACCAGCCCCATCTTCCAGGGGATATCACGAACTGGTAAATCATGTACTGGATGTAACTCCCCCTTCATTTGACTCTGTGTTCATTTTCAGATCAACCATGGCTGGATCTCTGGACAAAACAATATTTCCTTTGTGATCCGTTTCACCATACTCTGCAACATGGGGGTCCATCACGATTCTGCAGGATCTCCATTGTTGGCACATTAAATCGACACCATAATAATTTAAGTGGTCTGCAATGCTGTTCCCTGTCACTGACCTGCAATAGAATGCGAAAGTAGAAAAGTTCATGACAGATTTCCAAAGTAATGGTTCTAAAGTCGTCATACCCACTTCTTGGTTAGCAAAAAGACTAATCTATTGATGCCACGTTTTCCCTTTTTCACCAAGAAGATGAGGGAGAACAACACATACATAAAAGATGCCCTCATCTTTCGTTTTCATAAATTTTAAAACAACCAAACTACTAGATCAAATAATTTAATGTTTCATCAAATTAATCAAATATTAAAGTTATTCAAGTAATGGATGAGGTTCCAAGTACTGATAAATTTCCATCACGATCAAAATCGACACATAGAAATAGGCTTACCTACTACAGGTTGGATCTTCACCAGAACCATCACAGACCTTCTCAACTCTATAAACCAGACTTCCCAGTCCAAGGTTATACAGCCACACCTACAAAAAATATATATACATTAACGAGCCTATCCATGCCATTCTTTGTTTAATCTGGCTGCAGTCTTACATGCATCCAACAGCAGTCCTCTATTAGCCACACCTCTGATACAGAAACGTTAGGCACTTTTAAGTGTCGGACAATGGAGCTTAAGCATGTCCTTACATTTACATATGTAAAATTGTTTACAGACTTTAAAGCAAAGACCTTTCTTATATTTACATTCAAATAATGCCATAACCATTAGCACCATGACACCTCAAAGGCAAACTAGGACCTTCAATGAAGGAGATTGGCAAAGATTAGATTAATATGCAATTTAAATAATGAAGAATGAGGAACAAGACAACCCTGTTTGGTCATGGGAATGGAGAAACAGAGAATAAGTCTATTTCAAGAACCATTATGAACATGCAACAACATTTTGCAGATACTGGCATTCACTTTTAGTGTTACTCAACAGTCAAGACAATATACCATGCTTCCTCAACATTACAAATGATTTTCCACAAAAAGTTACATTCCATTAAATATCACAATGTTCAAGTACTGATGACAATCCAATGAGCAACTCTCTGGCCTAATTTAAGTTATTTGCTTAAAGCCACTACTAAAGTCATAGAGTTTATTTTACCAAACACAGATACTAACCTCTCTAGGAAAGTGATGGTATGTCTTTTGCGGGAAATAGGAATAGTATGGTGGCAGATGAGGCACAATATCATGGTCATTTGTAACTCTAACTGTGTTTGGAACAAGTTTGCTGTAATAAGAAGTAAAGGCAGTATTCCCAATACGAGGTTGTCCAAATGTCATAACTTGAACATTCTTGGCTTCATGATTAACCTGGGAATAAAAAATTAACTTTCTCATTACAACTCTGACAGACCAACCAAGCAAGCTTCCAGAATTTAACCAAGGAAAATCAATTCAAACTCATCCGATAATCAAGAAGGTTTCACATTTACCACATAATGAAAAGAACAGCAATAATAAAATATTTCCAGGTGTATGAAGAAAGGCTCAAGATTACCGTTAGATCAAGTGCACAAAAGGAAGCCATAGCGCCTCCCATTGAATGCCCTGTCACCATGATTTCAAGGTCTCCATAAAATTCTTTTGCTTTTTTAACAGCATGCAGAATTCCAGGGCGTATGGTTGTGTTGTGGTAAGCAGCATAAAATCCATGGTGCACCTGAAATGGTGAAAAAAGACTAAAGATTAAAATCAATCACTCTAGTATAAATTCACAAATTGGAAGAAATTTGTTATGCATACCATAGCATCAGGCATGCCAGGGTAATTTAAATCAAGCTGTTTCCAGAATAAATCTTCAACCCAATTCTGTATGCTGCAAACAATAAAATCATACAAACAGAAGCAATTAAATTTATAATAATTAAAAAAATTAATTTCTGCACTCCTCAGATCTTGCTTATCATTTGTTGTTTTCATGCCATGAACAGCCCGGTTGGATAATGTGACCAACCAGCATAACTTGTGAGAAATCCAGCTTTTTAAAACATTTCTGAACAGAAATTATAAAAACAATTAAGCATTAAAAGATTAGTACCTGTGCTCCTGAGTTCCTCTAAAGGCAATAACAATGGCATTAAGATCCTTTGCCACTCCAACAAACGCCTATTAATTGATGTTCATTTTCATGTCAGTTACAAACAAATGTATTCAAAAGTAACACCTATACAGGTTAAGATTCCAGTAAATATCGAAAAACACTACGAAAAAATGCACCTGTAAACAGTTCTGAATATCAACCACAAGCTCAATAACTTCAAACCCCTGTTTCCATTCAAAGGAGCATTAGGACAACCAATTCAAGTGAAACCTACCCGAACATTGCAGATTAAAGAAAAACTACTAGACAATCACTACCTTAGTCAAACCATCACATCTTTCACATGTCCAAGTAAAAAGTTCCATCAAATCCGACATGTACACCTACAGGGACAAAAATTGCCTGAGTGACCATATCAGCAACAAGGAAATACGAAGCAATGTAAACGAACCAAGCAATAAGTCTCATATACCTTCTTAGGCAACAACATTGAACTCATTGACTTGACTATTCTAAATCAAACAAGCAGGGATCATTTGCATGAATTCCAAGCCTTCTATATTATTTCATTGGCTTCATATGACTTCAACTATAGTAAATCATTACATCACCGCAGCACGAAACTAAATTTCCTTGATAATTAGTTAAACTTTTAAACTCAAATTCATTAAAAATAGTAATTAACAACTTTACCGCAGAAGCATATTCTACTAAAGTAGTGGCAAGAGTATGATTGTAGATGGCGAAGTTATCCTTGTGCTTGGCCTGTAATTCTACAGTAAATGGGGGAAAAAATTCCTTGTTAAACTAAAATTTTAAAATCTCAAAAGCCACAAAAATCAAACATAATCTTTAAAAAAACATAAAATAAAAGCTAGAAGTAGAAGTTCTTGAGCTGA